CGCATCGAGCTCGCCGTGGCGGCGTTCTTCAAGACCTACGTCGGGAAGGACGAGCGCGTCTGCGCGACATCTTCCAGAACCACGGAGAGCCGCCCGATGAACTCGCATGGCTCATGCCGAGCTTCAGGGCCACACTGCAGGAGCCCGCCAAGAAGAGAGACATGGGGCTTGGCGCCGAGAACGTCGAGAGGCCGGCCCCCGGCTCCCACGCCGATCGCATCGGGCATGCCCTCCCAAGCATCCCCGCCGAGCTCCTTCACTTCCACGAGCTAGTGCTGCCGCCCAAAAAGAAGTTCGAGCCCGTCGAGCACTTGGACGGGAGGCCCGCCGAGGGTGCCGAGATGCTCTTCAAGGTGATTCCGGGCAGGGCCCGGGCGTGCACCAGGTGGCGCAACGAGACTTCCGCGGCCTCGGTCGCGAGCGACGGGGTCGCCAAGGCCACCACTCAAGCAATTATCCAGTAGCGCTGGCCCATCAAGAGGGCCGTCGACATGAGCTACGAGCCGCGCGAGCAGAGCAACACAGACAGGCGCGTCAAGCGACTCTTACAATTTTGTAGTAGTAGTCGTAGTAGTAGTAGTAGTAGTAGTAGTAGTAGTAGTAGTAGTAGTAGTAGTAGTAGTAGTAGCAGTAGTAGTAGTAGTAGTAGTAGTCGTAGAAGTAATAGTACCACTACCACTACTACGAACGAGGAACTAGCACCACCACGAGGTTCGTGCACCTGGTGGCAAGGGGCGGCTCCGAGGACCGCCGCCTCTCCGTCGGGGGCCCGAGTCCTTCGCCCAGCGCAGGGCCAGCGCGAGCGCGGTCGTCGTCCACGCCGCCGCGCTCTGGCTCAAGCTCCGGGGCGAGGAGCAAGTGCACAGTCACGAGACCGAGGTCTAGGCGCGAGCGAAATGGGCGCGGGAGCAAAGGGCGCTGTGCCCAACAGCAGTTCCTGTTCATTTTGAACGGGATTTGCAGTCGGTGTCTCCGCGGCCTGTGCCAATTGGGGGCGGAGGGCCGCCTGCCCAACAGCGGCCGCTGTTGGGTCGGGACAACAGTCTTTGCGGGGCGTTGTGCCCATTCTTTTTCGCGCGCATTTCGGGCGCCCAACAGGTGCACGCCGCGGGCGCCAAGAAACGCATCCAGAACCTCCGCAAGAAATCCCGCGAGACATGCAGCGAGCAGGTCAAGGCAGCCTTCGAGATGGAGAAGGCCAAGTTCTTGGCAGAGCGCCCCGACCACAAGGGGCAAGTGGGGCAGGCCTACTCGAGCGCAGGAGACAAGTACAGGATCACCCCCATCAGCATCTCCGCGGCCGAGAACTGGTTCGACCCGAGCAGGGGGCTGCCGCGCCGCTCTGCTCGAGTTCTCCGAGGCGGACCGCGCGGGGGTCTTCGAGGCCATCGTCGCGCGGGGGCAGCCGAGAGCCTGGGCGGACGTTCTGGTGGCAAGCTGGACCATCGACTTCATCGAGCAGGGGCGCGGCCAGAGCCCCGTGTTCGCACGCTGCCTCTCGAGCCAGTGGACCGAGGCAGTGGCGCTGCGAGCGTGGCTCAAGAATATCATCCACGCGCCTATGGCCCCCGCCGTCGCGATTTTCTTGCAAGATCCCGGCGCCCGCGAGCGCGGCCAGCTCAAGTCCAGAGATCCGAGAGGTCAAGGCCGAGATGCTGGGCCGCGGGGCATGGCTGGATCCAGAAGGCCAAGGCCGAGCCCCAGAAGGAGTGCGAGTCCCCGACGCATTGGGGGCCCTACGAGTGCCTCTGCTGCGCCTTTGAGGCTTACGCCCGCTTCCGCGAGCAGAACGCGGGCGCGGTGCCGCTCCGGGGGCTGCAGGCCAACCAGATGCTCGCGGTCCGGCCCGCAGGGCAAGGCGAGCGCAAGATCGTCACGGGCATGGAGCCGTGAAGCTACACCACCGAGCCAGGCCGCGGCATCGAGGACAGCCTGGCGAATGGGCGCCTCGAAGGCATCCAGAGCTGGCCCGAGGGCGTGCCGCCCGTGCCCGAGTTGAGCGCGCTCGACGGCAATTGCTTCCGCAACGACGACTTGCCGAGGGGCTGCGAGCAGGGCGAGAACCCTTGCCACCTGGAGCTCCGAGAGCTGGACCTCGAGCTCACCCACAAGCAGAAGGACTTGTTCAAACCGCCAGAGGAGCGGATCAAGGAGATCACGCCCCCGCGCGCCCTCGAGAACAGGACCCAGCTAAAACGGGCAGCTACACGCAAGAACAGGCGGGCGTCCAAGGTCGCGGGTCAGTTCGCGACTAAGCGCTTGCAAGTGGCAGCGCGAGAAGGACAGGGCTGGCGGCGAGACCTCGCTCGAGCACCTCAGCAGAGGCGTGCCCAAGGCGAAGCTCACGGGCAGGCCGCCGAAGGCGCGCGCGAGCTTCTCCAAGAAGGTCAAGCAGAAGATGCAAGCGGAGAAGGGCGCCAAGAAGCAGGACAGGGGCGCGCAGAAACGCGGCCTCGAGGCTTGCTAGGAGCCCCCCTGGCACGGCACGGTGGCGCGCGTTGCCGAGGGCAACTGCGAGGGCAGGCGCGGCAGAGCGCAGGACGCCTGGCGAGTCCTGGGCACCAAGGACCGGCACCGCCCGCGCGCCCTCGCGGAGGAGACCGCGGCGACCTTCCAGACCGGCAGCAGCGAGGCTGGGGGGGTCACAGGCACTCGTTCGTTTCCGCCTGCTTCTGCCCGGGGCGGCGGAAGCAGGCGGAAGTTGGCGGGCGGGAACAGAGAGGAAAGCGGATGCAGGCGGAAGCAGCGCGAAGCGGAAGCAGGCGGAAGGTAAAGAGCGCTTGCGAATCCCGATCGCCACAGGTCACAATCGAGCAGGACTACAAGTTCCCCGAGCCGCAGAAGCTCGACTGGCGCCGGACAAGACACGCTCGCCGCACCGCGCTCGCCAAGGAGTGCGCGATCATGAACTGCGAGCAGATCGTCAAGGGCGGCGCCCTCGAGCTGGGCACAGCGCGCGAGCTGCTGGGCGAGATCGAGGAGCGAGTGGATGCCCCCGACAGCGTTCTGCTGGTCGAACCCACTGCGGCCGTCGCCTGGGCTCGAGAGGGTCACGCCTGCACCCCGCGATTTCTGGAGGGGGAAGGTGCGTTCACTTTGCGCGGGAGCTGCCGAGCGAAGTGTGCCCCGCTGTCCCCCCCATTAAGAAATCGCGGTTGGATTCGCACTTGGCCTCCCGAGGCCGCCGCGAGGATCCTCCGCGAGCTCGGCGCCATTGGCCCTGGCAAACATTGCCCGGCACCGAGCACTAGACGGCGCACGAGTTGACGATTGGAGCTGCGGCTTGTGGACGAGTCGCTGGAGCGAGCGCGCCCTGCGCCAGATCCGAGGCGAGGGCCGCCAAATGCCAGCAGCCCTCCGCGCCACTGTCGCTCGAGGCAACGCTTTCGTCCGTCAACTCAAGGAGGCCAGCGACAACGAGGCGGCCAAGGCCAAGGCCCCCGCCAAAGCCAAGGCCAAGCGCAAGTCCAACCTCTGCAACGGCCCCGCGGCGGCCGAGCCGAAGTATGCCACTTACGAGGAGGCTAGCGCCTCCTTGCAGCAAGCGCATCCCATGCAAAGACGGTTCCAAAGGATGCCGCGCTTGCATGGCAGAGCGGTTCGAAGTTCAGCGCAAGAGGGGCTTCTTGGCCAGATCGGCCAAGGACCTCTCTTGCGCTGGCAAACTATAGGCAGGGCCTCGCGATTTCCCGATTCGGCCTGGCGCCGAGCGCCTCATGTCAAGTTGTATAGCCACGAGCCTTCACGGCTCTCGAGTCAGCCTTGTGCCGAGCGCCTGCTGGCAAGTTGTATAGCCGCGAGCCTCGAGATCTCTCGAGTGAGTCTTGCGCCGTCATCACCGCCAACATCATCATCATCATCATCATCAGCAGCAGCAGCAGCATCATAGTTATTTTACCTCCACCTGGAAAGTTGTTTGTTATCCCCGCCAGAAACCCGAACTTTTTATCCCCGGGGGTTTATTATCGCACGGTTTCGGTTATCTTCTTTCTCCCGACCGGGGGGGCGGCCCGGCGGAACCCGGCTGGGGGGGCGCCCGCGGCATCGCAGGGGGGCTTTGGGGGGGGGGGGCCGTGGGGCTCGACCGCGCGTCGTGGCGCCCGGGTGAGGGCCCAGGGCCAGTGGGGAGAAAACTTTGCGCCTACGGCAGGCTTGCGATTGTGTTAAGCTGTTACAAAATCGGCCCTTCGGCAGGCTTGCGACTTTGATGGGGATTTCAATTTGATGCAGTGGCGAAGGCCCCATCACTCCTATCCGCTTCTGCGGGGGCTATGGTGTGTGCCAAGCGATGCGTCTCTATCTGGATACTCGTCATACATCCGCGCGGGATTCCCCTGACGGCGCCTCAAGTGCCGCCCCTGGCGCGCTACGCGTGCAAGGGAAAAGGGTCCAGCGCCGATCCGACAAATCCACGCGGACCTCCGGGTTTAACGTTTCTGTCCTTATTCGTTCCTCTAAAGACTGTCCAGGAGGGCCTCGGGTCGCCGAAAGACCGCTCCAAGATTCGGACGATGGCCTCCCGACGGCCCAAGATGCCCCCAAAAACGCTCCAAGACGCCTCCAGGAGGCCTCCCAAGAGAGCCCCAAGAGGCAAGAACCACTGAGTCCCTTCAAGTTTTCGGAGGATTTGGCGTTTTCGCCCATTTCCAATTCCCGACGCTCCAAAATGGCCCAGAAGGCTCCCAATATCGCCCCAAGAGAGCCCAATAGGCCTCCAAGAGGGCTCCAAAACGGCTCAAGAGGGCCCAAAGACGGCTCCAAGAGGGGGTCCCCACACGGAGGACGTCGCCGCCCTTGCAGTCGAGGGAGGACAAACCACCCAGACCCGATAATTGGCGTTTACTAAACGGCCTTGGGCGTTTACTGAACAGCCCTGCCTTTTTTGACTCCTTCCTTGGGTATGCGTTTGCGAAACGACTTCATGTGTCGGGGTGATTCTTATGAGGGTGGATTTTCCGCACTCTGTGCAGCGCGGTGCCTCCGATCCTGCCCCGCCTCAGAAGCCGATCGTCGTCAAGAATAAGGCGCCGGCCGCGGCGGTGGCGGTCCCGTCGGCCGTGGCGCCGGAGCCCGCCCCGTGAGGCCGCGTCCTGAGGCGGCGGCCGCGGCAGAGACAGCCACCCACGACGCCACTCATCACAAAGGAGGAGGCGCCGGCCCAGAGATCCGACGCTCCGAAAACACTGGGGCGGCTAGTTTTTGGGCGCTTTCGGCCTGGGGGGGGGGCCCTCGCCGGACCATGCGGCAACGGCTCAGGGCAAGAAGCTGGCCCCAAGAGAGAGTTCCAGAACTCCAGGGTCCACGCATCGAATAATTATTAGGCGGCCGGATGTCTGGGGACCATGACGCAAATGTCACGGGAGTTAGTTCGGGGAAGCGCGAGCCTCCAGTTCGTTGGAGCTCGGCTTTGCCGACGTTCTGCGTTGGTCGCGTCCTGGATTTGACGGTCAGTTTGCGTGGGACGATTTTGTTCCGGGGGGGCCTGCGTCGAGTTTAAGATTCGGTCTCGTCTTTCTCCTGACGTCCCCGTCAGGCCAACCCGAGTCCCCCGAACCCGAGTCTTGCTTGTCCCAGACCTGTCGAAGCCGATCCTGGTCATTGTCCATGCTCCATGCCGGCCGTCGCCGATTCGCGAGGATGAGTGACGAATTGACGCTGATCAGAGCCCCGAATCATCCGGGGTAACTCGGGTCAGGGCTAACTCGGGTTCGTTTTCGGGAATGTGAGCCCGAGTTACCTCGGACCAGAGTTACCCTGGATAATTCGGGCGTCCAGAACCCCAGATCATCAGGGGTAATTCGGGTCAGGGCTAACTCGGGTTTGTTTTTCGGGAACCCGAACCCGAGTTACCCTGGACCCGAATTACCCCGGATAGCTCGGGCGCCCAAGCTGACCAAGGTGGACGTTGGCCAAGATCGGCACGGTTTTCCCGCTCTCGTGGGGCGGCGAGATCTATACATATCCACTGCTCCTGGTCAAGCCCAACCTGGGTCCAGGAGCTGTGTCTACGCCCTCCTGGCTTGGCCAAAGGGGCACAGAGTTCCTGGGTCAGGATGGGCCTGACCAGGAGCAGTGGATATGTATAGATCTCGTCGGCCTATCTCGGTCGTCGTCATGGTTCCCGTATGCTTGCCCTGCAGGCTGGGAGGCCGCGGCGCCCTCGAGGTCGGAGCGAGGAGAGCCGACAGCACCACCCCAGACCCCCCGCGCCTTTTCCCCTCCCTCCTCCCCCCTCCCTCCTCCCCTCCCCCTCCTCCCTCCCTCCCTCCTCCCTCCTACCTCCTCCCTCCTCCCTCCTCCCATCTCCCTCCTCCCTCCTCCCCCCTCCCTCCTCACCCCTCCCCCCTCCCTCCTCCCTCCTCCCTCCTCCCTTGAGCCAAGACGGGGCGCCTTTCTGGTCGTGGCTGTCGGCGAGCGGTGACCGTTTTCTGGCCCCGGGATTGTCAGAGAACGATCTGGGGGGAAGGTCCTTGGCATCGCTCGGACGTGTGCATTGTTTCCTTCGGCGAGGACCATCGAGGAGCATTTTGCGAAAAAGCCACGCACGAAACCGAACATTACCCTGCGACGTACCCAACCCACGTGCATCAAATGGCAAGAGGAGTATGCCAACATTAGCAGGAACAACGACAGTGTAGACGCGGCGATTTGCTGTGCAAGCTACATGGGATGCGCATGCGTTGCACGATTCACAGGACGACGATCGAAAGAACGAGGCTTGAGGCCCCAGGATCGAAGAAGAACGGGTACGGGAACGAGGGGTAGGAGAGGGATGGAATGGAGGGCGGGGGGGGCGAAAGGCCATCGCGGAAGCAGCAGCATGCATGGAGAAGGTGAGGCGGGGAATAGGACGACGATGAAAGTGGCGGGAGGAGACAGAAGACTGCCGCGTTTTTCAAGTGCGAGCTAAACCCGCAGCGCTGCCTGCGCCATGTCGTCGCAGAGTTCCACATGATAAAACTTGTTTAGAGTGCAAGGAACGAGCGAGGCGTAGCTCGCCCGCTAGCTTCTCCGCCTCCTTCCCGCACATTTCAGCGCGGGAGCTGAACGCTCGCAGGCGCGCCGCCAGGTCTGCGGGCGGCCCGCGGGAAAGAAACTCAAGGCCGGGGTCGCGTATCATCAATCGGTTGTCCATCGTCCAAAGTTGCACTGGCGACGTACTGGTTGAACGCGGAGCGAGCAGCATCACGCGCGTGCCTGAACGCCACGCAGGTACAGTGCACGCGCGATTGGGACTTCAGGTCGATCACGCGCGTCTCCACCAGGCTTGGCAACACCACGCGACTGAGGATCTCACTGCGGTCTGCCATGCTGCTGTCCGCGAATGCAATGCGCTGCCTGCAAGTAAGGCGGCGGCGTCCACTTGTCTCAGAAGATGTTCCCGCGGGCCCGAAGGGCGACCGCCAGCTCGAGCCGCGGCGCCGGCAGGCCAGATAAGGATCATGCAACAGCAAAGACGATGACAGAGCAACGAGGTATCGGCGAGTGCATGACCGGCCTCCGTTTCCTGCACTTCTTTCCTGTAGTTCCCCTAGCTCATCGAGCTCAGCAGATGTTTCTGCGGGTCCGAAGGACGACCGCCAGCTCGAGTCGCAGCGCCACGTGGCACGAACCGCAGAGCAAGGGCACGCGAGCGTTCCTCGTGGTCAGAATCTGAGTCCCCGTGGTGCCTCACTCCGCTGGCCACCCACCAGCAGCCCTCGAAAGTGGCGACAGTTTCACAGATCGCAGCCCCCCAGGATGGCGAGGTCTAATCTGAGTCCCCGTGGTGCCTCACTCCGCTGGACCCACCAGCAGCCTCGAAAGTGGCGACAGTTCGCACAGGGATGGCGAGGTCTAATCTGAGTCCCCGTGGTGCCTCACTCCGCTGGACCCACCAGCAACCCTCGAAAGTGGCGACAGTTTCACAGATCCAGGATGGCGAGGTCCTGAGTCCCCGTGGTGCCTCACTCCGCTGGACCCACCAGCAGCCCTCGAAAGTGGCGACAGTTTCACAGATCGCAGCCCCCCAGAGATGGCGAGGTCTAATCTGAGTCCCCGTGGTGCCTCACTCCGCTGGACCCACCAGCAGCCCTCGAAAGTGGTGACAGTTCCACAGATCGCAGCCCCCCCCCAGAGATGGCGAGGTCTAATCTGGGTCCCCGTGGTGCCTCACTCCGCTGGACCCACCAGCAGCCGTCGAAAGTGGCGACAGTTTCACAGATTGCAGCCCCCCCCCCCCAGGGATGGCGAGGTCTAATCTGATTCCCCGTGGTGCCTCACTCCGCTGGACCCACCAGCAGCCCTCGAAAGTGGTGACAGTTCCGCAGATCGCAGCCCGCCAGGGATGACGTGAAAGGCAAAAGAAGAGAAGAGGAGGAGCGAAGAGAGGAGGAAAAGGCAAGCAAGAGAGGAGAGCAGAAACGAAGAGAGGAGGAGAGGGGGCGGGAGGAGGAGGAGGAAGGTGGAGACCACAGTGTTCTATTCAAAACGAGTACCCAACGCAGGAGGGTTGGGAAAAACAGGGAATGGACGTCCGAGCGATGGCCAAAAGCGGTCCGTTTGAGAAGTCCGGGGACCGCGTGCTGAACAACGCCACGACATCGGACCTCCAGGGCTGCCGCCAGCGAGGAGGTCCACGAGGCGTCCCTAGGTCGGAGACTGGCGACGGGACGTCGCACTGCAGTGGAGGTTGATAAGCAGGTCGGCCCTGCCAAATCCAGGGTACCCTGGTGTCCTGTGCTTCGCGACCCATGCCTCCTGCATGCCTGTGGCAGTGTGGCCCTCGGAAGGGTCTTGTGTCCTCTCGCGCACCCTCTCCAAGCAGCCCGAGTGCAGAGCCCAGGGTTCGCTGGGGACTGGCTGCCCCCCGAACGACCCAGACCCTTTATGAAGCCCTGCGGTTGCAACACCATTATAATTATTATTATTATTATTATTATTATTTTTAATATTATTAGTATTATTATTATTATTATTATTTGTTTTTTATCTTTATTATTACTATTGTTTTTATGATAATATTATCATTATCCGTATGATTAACATGTTTATTACTATCATTTGTACTACTAATATGATCATCGTTGCCACTTTGTTAATAATATTGTTAGTCGTACTATCATACATAACTCTTGTTTTATGAACCTCGCTGGAGCGTGCACAAATGACCTCACCACAAGTCACCTGAAACCAAGACGTGTAGTATCTCAGCGAGACACCACAAAAGTGCCGACTCCAGGACTTCATCGGAGCACCTCCCAGAATCCTCTGCGGATGCTCGTCGGAGTGATTCGGGAAGTTTTCTGTTTTTTTGCCTTTTTCCCTAACCTCAGATATCCGGTGCACATGCTGCATCGGATACGCCGAATTGCGGCGTCCTGCCGTTGTCGACTAGACGTAAGAGTGACCTTTCGCCGGAGTGACCTTTGGTGCGGGCCCAGATGGGCCCCCAGATGGCTGAAAACGACGCAGTAGCAGGGGCTTGCGCGCCCAGGTTTGGCCTCCCGGCGGTCCCCAAAAAGCCGCGCACCAAAGGTCACTCTTACCCAGGGTCACTCTTGCGTGTAGCCGACGTTGGCGCGGTGGAGCAAGCGGTGATGGGCTGTGGCGCGGGGGGCAGGTGTGCAACAGCGTTTCCCCGGGGCGGCCCTGCAGCTCTCCGCCGAGTGCCTATCACAGGTTAGTTCCTTGCTCGAAATTCTCTCATGGAGTAGGTTCTTTTCGCAGTGGAGGGAGGCCGCCGACCACGTGTAGGAATGCATTTGCACGTGCATGCATGCCAGGGGAGTCTTCTCAAGCCCCCCCAACAGGGTCCTGGGAGCTGGGTTCTGGTGATGGTGCAAATGCGCTTGGAGTCGCATCACTAAAACCTCTCCAACAATTCTTACATGCCTCAAAATACCTGCTCGGACGTTGTCTAGCTGCCTGCGGCAATTCCTGCCACCGTGACAGCGCAGCACTCTGCGTAACGCTGAAGTGGTAACCGCACAATAGGCCGTAACGTGTAATCCTCTTGTCTCGAATATTTGAGGTGTCTCGTAGGGGCTACTTGGGCTGTATTGGGGCTCTATTGGGCTCCTACGTAAAGTTTCGGGCCATCTTTCGGCCCCTTCGGCCGTCTGGGAAGTCTCTTGGGGCTGTCTTGGGAGACACTTCGAGCTGCCTTGGGGACCGCTTGAGGTGTTCTTGGATTGTCCTGGGCCCCTCTTGGGCCGTTTTGGGGCCCTCGTGGTTTTGACCTTGGCCGTCTTGGGGGCTTATCGAGGCTCTCATTGAGCTCGTCTGGTCTCTTTTCGCCGCTTCCGAGGCCCTCTTGGGACCATTTTGGGCCGAGAGGCCCGCGAACCGGGTCGTTGGACTCTAAGCGATACGGGCCTTCCAAGATGTGCTCCTCGGACATCTTGGTGTCTTGGAAGCCTCTAGGGGACTCTTCGGCGCCTCTTGCGCTCTTGAGGTCTTCTGGGGGGCCACTGGGTGCCGCTCGAGGCAGCGTCGGGCCAGTGCTGGCGGCCCCAGTGGCCCTCCTGGGCGCCGTTCCGGGAGCCCTACGTAGAGGACCTTTGAGAGCCGCCTCCGGCAGCGGGGCGGGGGGGTGGAGGATGATGCGTGCAGCACTTCATGAGGTGGGGACGATGCGTGAGGATGATGGGGGGATGATGGTGATGGTGCTGCTGATTATGATGATGATGAGGAGGAGGATGAGGAGGATGAGAATGAGGATGAGGATGAGGATGAGGATGAGGATGATGATGAGGATTATGATGGTGATGGTGATGATGATGATGACGGTTATGATGATGGTGGTGGTGGTGATGATGATCAGGAGGAGGAGGAGGAGGACGACGACGGTCATGATGATGCTGATGATGGTGATGGTGATGATGATGTTGATGACGATACGGGTGGTGGTGGTGGTGATGGCGATGATGCTGATGATGTTGTTGATGATGATAATGATGTGATGATGATGCTGATGCTAATGCTGATGATGATACTGATGATGATGATGGTGGTGGTGGCGATGATGATGGTGATGATCATTACGATGATGATGATGATGCTGATGATGATGATGATGCTGATGATGCGAGTAGGAGAGGTGGTACACGCTGGTCGTTGCAAGTAGGTGTTTCTGATCCCCCGGATCGCAGTCTGCTTCAAGTGCTTTCCTGTTTCAAGCATCGGTATGGTTTTGCTGCGTTGTGTTGTTCTGTGGAACGGCCTGGACCCAACCTACTTTATCTGCCTTCTATTTCCTGTTAATACCTGCTTCTTCCGACCGACGTGTCGGGGCTCGGAAAACTGGCATAATCGTATAATGCAACGCTTGGCATTATTTCACGTTGCGGCGTGCCAGAGAGAGAGCTGTGGCGGGTGTTCCCTCTGGCTGTGTTTGCTGCCCACTTGGGTAGACATCTTGCGGTCAAGAGGTCAGCCCTCTTTCCCTCTAGTTGGTGTGCTGTTCGCAGCTGCCTATCTGCAGAGAGCGTCCTCGCTCACCTCGAATCCTCTGGCGCCTTCAGCCGCCGTCATCCCTCCCTCGCCTCACTCGCGCACGCCCACTCGTTCGGGAGGCTCCTACTTTTCAACTGATTTTCTACCGGGCGCGTCGCTACAAGCCGGCGTGCCCAGGGTCGCGTGGTCGGATGGCTTGTCGCAGCTGCGGAGAGGACCGCGAATCTTGCCAGGCTGGCTGAGGAAGGGATGAAGGAGCATGCGGGCGGACGAGAAGGAGGACGCAGGAGAAGGGCGCTGGCGTCCCGGCCCTCTCCCTGCCCGTTCCCTGTCCTCTGTCCTTTCCCCTTCGTTTCTACCCTCCTTCCCCCACTCGGCGGCGAGCGAGGGGGGGAAACGAGAAGGGGCGGGCCTTCTCAGAAGGCTCGGAAGTCCCCCAGCCTTTCGAGAAGTTTCCAGAGTCTTCCCCGAAGACGCGGACACCTCTCGGAAGGCGCGCGGGCTTCAGAGCAGCCCCGACGCCTTCCGAGAAGGCCTTCTCCGTCTCACCTCCCCCCTCGCTCGCCGCGGACCCCCACCCTTTCCCCGTGCATCCCTTCGGACCCACCCTGTCCCCGTGCACCCCTTACCCCCAGCTCCTCCGGCCTCCTTTCGGCCTGCCCCTCCTCCTAAAAGTTCCACATGCTCTAAAGCATGCAGTCGAGCAGGATTAGGATGTCGACCCTGCCAAATCAAGAGCACCTTTTTTGTCAGTATGCCTGTTTTGCGTCCCATGTCCTCTACGCTCCTATGCCAGCGTGGCACTTGGAAGGGTCCCATGTCCTCTTGCGTGCCCTTTCAAATCAATCTCGACTGTAGGTTGCGCGCCCGGGGGGGGGGGGGAAGGCAAAGGGGGCGGGCCTTCTCTTGTCTGGACGTCCGAGCGACCTTTGGCCAGAGTGACCTCCGGCGCGGGCGGGCCCAATGGGGTCCTCCGATCGCTGAACGTCGCGCGGCATCCCCAAAAAGCATGCAGGACAAAATCAAGAACAGATCCCATTCCGAAACACGAACTCCTGCAATGTCACTCATCCTTGGAAGAGCCACTTCTGTTCTCTCTCACAAGATCGCACATCCGCCGGTGGAGTCGCGCGCCGAAGGCCACTGCTGCCCGGGGGCGCTCCCTGCGTGCAGCCGACCTCGGGAGACTCCGAGGGCCTCCGGCCTCCACAGGGAGCTCTCCGGGCCCCCCCCCGAAGCCACGGCGGGCTCCCCGGGAGGCCCGAGGGCTTCCGAGGCGTCCCGCCCTCGGGGGTCGCCGCCCCCCGCCCCCGCCCTCCTCGAGACCCTCCTTGGCCCTCGGCCCCCCTCCCCGATCCTCGGTGCTCCTCGGTCGCCGCCGTCCTTGATAAACTGTTGGCCTTCCGCGCGCATGTTTTGGATCCGCTGGGCCCCCCCCCCCGGCGCGCGGAGCGCGCCAGGGGCGGCGCTGGAGGCGCCGCCGCGGGGGGGCCCAGCGCGGACCCAGGAAGTCCGCGCGGAGCGCCGAAAGTTAATGGTTCTGCTGTTTTGGGTCCTTTCAGAGCTGCAGGAAAGTTGTCCTGAAGGGGCCCTGGGCCTTGAGTTGCAACCGCGTGCCCAACATGTGCACGCTTCCCCACCCCGCGGTTTGCAGGCCCCCCGAGAACGAACACCCAGATCACATACTGCCATCGTTCTCGTCGCATCTCCTCTGGATGAGAATCCTGGAGGCCTCGCGCGGCGCGCATTAGTCGTATCATCTAGCCCACACGTCCGCCCCGTACGATATGGGCCGACGTGCTCGCGGCGAGGATCCGACATGAAAGGCTGACGACGTGAACCCGACGTAAGTAGGGTCTCCAGTTTCCTCGAGAGGCCTCCAGGAGTTCCGTCCGTCACAGCTCGCCAGCGTGGCCCGATGGGAAGGCAGAGGGGAGGGGCCTTCTCAGAGGGCTCAGATCGCCTCCTGCCTGCTGATGAGGTTTCCTGGCATTCTCCGAAGCCAGAGAGAGCGTCGTCAGAAGGCCGTAGGGCCTCTGAGAAGCCCCGTCGCCTTCAGGAGATGGCTCGACATAGAGAATACGAGTGTCCCTAACCCTGACAACACAGTGAAGACGTGGCCGCACTGAGACCCCCGTCTTTGCATTGGGGATAGCATGTATGGGCGGTCTGCTTCGATACATCAGCAGAAATGAGTCCCTTTCCTTAATGTTTGTGGCCCACCTACCCTAGCTCCCCTCCTAAAGGATTAGGGGTCCCTTTTTGATTCATCACTTCCCCCCTCTGGCGCGCCCCCGAATGACATCCTCGCCCTGCCTCTGGCACTCCCGTGGCCGCCCGGCGAAATGAACCGTAACGTCGGGAAGGCCCCCCTCTAGGAGGAACGTCCAAAAAGAGTGGAAACATAGCCTGGAGATGATAGGCGTGCTTTTCTTGCTATGCATTTTCTGTATGTGTATATATATATATATACAGATATCAGAACAATTCTTCCCAAATCCGCCTGTGAGAGGACCTGCCCGACCTCAAACGATCTCCGCGGGCCCGGGGCGCAGGTCGAGATGATCACCGCGGCCGCGCTCCGGTGCGGCTTCGGCGGGGGCCTGGTTGTGGACTTTCCCCACTCGTCGAAGGCAGCTGCGCGCGTGCGGCGCGGAGCAGGAGGAGGGGGAGGTGGTGTGTGTGAAATCGCTCATACCATCATCATATCCATATGTACTGCTGCCGTCTCGGCCCGCGGCGCATTAGAAACAGGTCCAGCGGCGCCTGCCCGCGGCACATGGGAACAGGGATCGCGACCCTCTCCCTTACCTTGTTTTGCCTACGGCAATCCTTGCAGGTTCGACTCTTCGGTCGTCAACCTACATACACAGTCGGGGGGGGCGTGCGGAGGAGACAGGATAGTGATGGTGAGTCTAGGCCTCCCCTATGGGGTCTGAGGATCACGCCGCATCGCCGATGCATTGGCGATGCGGCTGATGTGGAGCCGATTTATCTCCACGCCGACGTCGCCGATGCATCGTCGATGCATTGGCGATGCGGTTCGGTCCTCCGAACCACTGTACTCGTCCGAGCTACTCGGACCCATCTAGGAGGCCTCTAAGGTGGGTGCGGAGGAGAGAGAGGAGAGGGAGGATGAGGAGGAGGGCCAGAACAGTTCGTTTTTGTCGTGGCAGTGGCGCAGAAGGTTACGACGGTGATTCGGGTATATGGTTCCGAAGGGGGATGATTGGCAATGGTTTTGCTGTTATTGTGTAGCATTCTCTTGAGAATGGCTGAGTGTTTTCAGACATTTCCTTTTTGTAACATGACGCGGCTCCTCATGGCGATGTGTAGGGGCGTAAGTATGTCTTGTTGCGGTGCTCTTCGTGTGCCTTGCATGGTGCGGTCCGGCCTGATCAAGGCCCGCCTTTGTTACCTAGTCTCGCCATTGCCTTTGTGTTTGTCTCATCCATGCCCCTTTTCCCTCCCCCCAGTCCTGTACACAGGGTTCTCGCCTTGGTTTTGCCAGTTTGGCATCGTTCGGGCGTGTGCGTTTGTTGTCGGCGAGGACCATCGAGGAACCTTTTGGGCCATCTCGCGAAGAATTGCATTGGGAATGGACGTCCTAGCGATGGCATCGACCCTCCCCGTCCTCCCGTGGGAATGTGCGTGCGCCCGTTCATCCAAATTCATACGTTTCCGAGAATCCTTTGCAACAAATGAGACGACGTGCATACGCGCGCGTCGTCGCGCGCGCATGCCACAAACCTTAAAACACCCCTTTGGTGTCGTAGCGATTTGAAAACCGATCGTCCGAAAAATCTATAAAAGCCATTTGGCTTCGGCACACGGATCTTCATGACGAGTTTCGCGCGCGGTTTTGCTTAGTCTTCAGAAGCCCATTTGTTATTTCCCACATTTTCAGAACTTGCTACCAAGCGACGTTCGCGCGCGAGTGTCGAAATCGTTCGAACGTCTTTGTTCGCGTGCATTTGCGAGAATCATTTGCAAAACAAGGGACGAAGTGCACGCGCGCGCCGTCGCGCGCGCATGCCTAAATCCGTCAAACATTTTCGGGTCCGTAGCGATTTCAAAACCGAGTGTCTGAACAACATGGAAAACACAGGATTTTGTCATGACAGTTTCTCTTTAAAGCTTGCGCGCGCTCGTGCTGATTCTCGAAATAAGAACCATAGGTTGGGTTCCTTAGCATGGTCATGGAATTCTCTAACAAGGCCTCTTGTGCCGCATGCCGACATCATCCGCACGCCCGCCCTTGCGCGCGTGTTGGGGGGAGCACGATCCGTCTCAAAAAACAGCATGCGGGCAACTCGCGCGCCGGCCGCGCGCGCATGTCGAACTCCGTTCAAGACTTCCACCGGCGCGAGGTCATCGTCGCCGTCGTGATCAGCATCAACGCCCGCACTGGCCGCGCTCTCGTCGCTGTCAGTATCGTCACCAGCATCGCTATTAAAGAACATCGTGTGTACTGTTGTCGACGTTGCCATGATACGGCGCCCGCCCAAGTCGCCGACTCGCAGTGGAGGCCCGCTGGGATGTGCCCAGCGGTCAGCGCCACCGCGGCCGCGTCGGTCGCGCCAAACTAACTGGCCGCTGTGCGCGCGCACTTGGGTTGGCACGGCCGCAGAAATGCACCAGCCACCGCCAAACGTGCATCGCAATCGCCACTGCGTGGGTTTTGCAGACCAAGTTGCGGGTGGGTTGGTGGGATGTTTGCAAGAGCGTGGGATGTGTCAGCTCGTTTGTGCAAGTCAGTGGCACCATTTAGAAAACACCGCGTAGATCGCACCGCATAGGGCGCACCGCCACCAACATTTGTCGACGTACCCATGATACCGCGCCCGCCCAAGTCGCCGACTCAAGTGCCCGCTGGGATGTGCCCCGGGGTCGTTTCAAAACTGACTGTCCAAAAAACACATATAAAAACATATAGTCTCGCAGCACGGATATCCCCAATAAACTTCCGCGCGGTCTCTTGCGAATTCTGAAATCAACAGTGTGTGTTCCCAACATCTTAAGAAAATGCTACCAAGCGGGCTTCGCGCGCGAAAATGTGGAAAACGTTCGAACGCCCTTGCGCGCGTGCCGCCGCGAGATTCCCTAGCAACAAATGAATCGGAGTTCACGCGCGCGCGCCGTCGCGCGCGCATGCCGAAATCCGTCAAAGACCGTAGGTTTCGTAACGGCGTCGAAACCGAATGTGCAAAACCGAATGTCGGCTTGTCAACATGTTCAGGGTCTTTTGCCCAGCGGGCCTCTGGCGCCGCATGCCGACATCATTCGCACGC